TTTTTCTTTGCTGTGAAAATGCAAGTTAGGCTAGGATGCTACTTTCAGAAGAAAGATAAAACTCATGGCACAGATACTCATTTGAACTCAACTGATTTGCCTCTCTTTTCATATGCAATCTAAAAAGGAAAACATCACATTCATTTCATTTGAATGGTTTTATTCTTGAAGTGATTGAATATATTTTCATGTCTTAAAAATTAGTTTGATTTCTTCTGTGAGCTTGATTTCTATTAACGCAGTTTTGTTTTTTCTTTCTTGGACTCTTCATGTTGTAAGACCCTTTAAGTGTCAAGGATATCAGCTCTTGTTTTTTTTCTGTCATAATCACATTTTTCCAGATTACTTTATCTCTCCTTGTTGCTATTGATATTTTAAAATTCAATAAAGAGATTATAAGTATTATTTGTAATTAAAAAGTTTATAAGCTTATGTAATATATCAAACTTTTTGGCTTCTGTGTTTCCTGTTCTATTTAGAAATGTTTTCCATATCTGAAAAGCCTATGATGATTTATTCATATCTTCTACCATATTTATTTTCATCTTTAAAATTACTCATAATTTTAATCTATATTGTATTTATTTTGAAATAAGAGGTCAGTCTTATTTGTTTTAACATTTCTAATGTGTTGCTCCAAAATTATTTATTAAATAATCTACCTTTCATCAGCCAATTAGAAACACATAAAATTTTTGTAATTACTTGAATCTTGACACAGACTCTATTCTATGCCATTTAATATTCTGTCAATTTTTATTAAATCAGATTTTAAAATCACATATGATTAGTCTCTTCCAAATTCTTTGCTTCAGTAAAATTGTGCATGCTATTCTTGAATTTCTCCATGTGATTAAAAACTCCCATGTCATTCATATTCAGAAAAATAGGACAAAATGATATGGAAGATTACATATTAGATTTAAAATATAGTGATTCATGTAATTAGAAGAGTAATATCTTTAATGTATTTATAACATAGTTATATATTTGTATATTTTGCATTTAGGAGCACTGATAAATATTAAATAGCAAAGATTCAACACAGACTTGAAGAAATAAATACATGGCAATAAAATAGATTTTAATTTTTAAAAATAAATATCCTTGCATTTTTCAATATACCACATTACCTGCCAATAATGACAATTTAGTTACTTCCCATTCACAATTTAGTTTTCATATTTTATTTTCTTCTCTAATTGAATTTTAAGGAAAATATTAAGTTTGGTGATAGCAGAATATTTTAATGAGGAGCTTCTAATCATTAACCACTCACTATGACACTGGTTTATATTTTATTAATACTTCATGTGTTACCTTTCTCATTGTTGTTGCAAAATGCCTGATATAAATGACTTAAAAGAAGGTGAATTTTGAATCCCAATTTCAGAAATGCTAATCCATCTGGAAGGACTGGTAGATCAAAGCAGTTTATATCTTGGTGACCAGGAAGCAGAGAAAGATTATGGGGGGGGGCATCAGGGAAATATATAGCAACTAAGGACACGGCTCTGTTGACCTTCACCCAGCTCTGTTTACCTTCTTCCTCAAACTAGGCCCTACCTCCTACCTTTTCAAGAATGCTAACATATGATCAGTGACCAACAGATCAAGTCACTGTTTAGGTCAGAGCAGTCCTCATTTAACTCTCTCTGGAAACAAACCCTGTGGTGTGCTTTACTAACCTAATCAAGTTGGCAATCAAGATTATTACTTTTTACTGAAGTTTTTATTTAAAAACAAGATTCAACTCATCATTTATACAATATTTTCAACTTCATATTTGAATTCTTTAAAACATTACTATATAACTATGGATTTTATGATATGCTTGTAAGTATCATTTGTAGAACTTTTATGTAATTAAAAGTAATGGCTCTAAAAGTAGTATTGCAGTCAGTCAACATGATAGTAAAATATTTCTGATTATTTTGTACCCCCTTTTTTTTAACCAAATGCTGAGTACAGTTACCACTTTACAGGGTCAAATTTCAAATAAAAATGTCTTTTCAGTCTACAAGTTCTGCTCTTCTTCTTGATGAGAAGCGGAACAGCAGTTATTGTAAAGGTGATGTACAGAAGGGTTACAGTTACAGAAGTCATATAATGTGCATATTTCATTCTGAACAGTGTCACTTCTTCCCTCATTTTCTCCCAGTTTTTCTCTCCTGACTCCCCTCCTCCTTAAGTTGTATAGTCATAGTGTCTAGTGAACAGTGATACTCATGAGGTTTTTGTTTTTTAATTGACAATAGAGCAAAATTGACACCTGAATCTTCCAGATTAACTCAAGTGTTGCAGCACAATTCAGTATTTAAACTGTTTTTCAATCCTCAGGAGGATTGCCTGTTGTTTTGTGTTTGTTTTTTTTTAAACAGTGTCTTAAGGAATTTTAATGTGTTCTAAGATCTTTCAAGGTTTACACATTACACTTTCTTCTTCAAGCAGTTGTATTATTACAAGCTGTCCATGAATGCCCACAGTAGCCATTAAGTTCTGAAGTTAAGGTAGACACAATGTGGATCTAAAATAAATACATATCCAAACAAAATTAGATGCAGATATTCTCCAGAGAAATGAAACTTGGAAAGTTCTTGCCCCACTCCACTCTATTATTTCCCCATGTCTGTGGTTACAGTGGTTAACGGCACAGCTGGGGAGGGTAGCGTGGATGGCAAACGCAACTGACTCCTTGCACGTGGCTGCCCAGATGTGCTGCTTCTCAGGGATGTGGTGTGCCAGACTCTGAATAGTCTAACTTGCCATTCTTCTTGAATAACGATGCGCTAGTGTGTTTATTCATTTCGTGATCCCATCATTCCCTGTTTATGACCAAATACCTGCTAGATTTTAGGTACTGTGTTTAGCAAGAGCTATAAACACAAACAACCATGATCTTCTAAGTGGTAAAACATGGATAAGTCAATGAAATAATTATAGGCCAGTAAGGTAACAATGAAATAATTATAGGCCAGTAAGGTAATAAGGGAAGTGAACACATTGTATGACAGAGATGGACAGAAGCATCATATCCTGGCTTATAGGAGGAGGCCTTCCCAGAAAGAGTTGTACCTGAAAGAAATATTCAGGGATGAGTGTGAACTAGATGGGTGGTGGGAATGGTATATAGAAAGGCCAGGGATTGAGAGAAACAAGGATGGTGAATAACAACAAAAGCAAGGCAGGAAATAACAGGCTGAATAATGGTACCCTAAAGATTTCTACTTTTTAATCTCTCCTGATCTAGAGATGGAGAGATTACCTTTGTGTTATTAGAGGGCATCCAATATAATCACAAGAATTCCTACAAGAAGAGGAGCACAAGAGAATCACGGTGAGAGAAGGCATTATGGTAGGAAAACAGAGTTGAAATGATCCATTTTAAAGATGGAGGAAGGGGCCTTGACTTAGGGAATACACTTGGATTTTATTAAAGGGAAAAGCAAGAAATGGATTCTCTTCAGAAGCCTCCAAAGGTATGCAGACCCTGGATGTTGGTTAACCTCATTGAAATCATTTTGGACATCAGATTGCCTGATCTTTATGGGTATAATTTGTGTTGCTTAAATCCACTAAGGTCGTGTACACTTGAATAGTGGACATGAAGACATTTTATTACTGAGAAGTCATATGTCATTCTGAGAGACCACCAACAGACTTTAGCTAGAGGAGTGACTTGATCAGATTTTGTTTAAAATATTCTCCTTTGTGGAGGTGGAGGGTAGGTCATATGAGAGCTAGACTTAGGGGATGCTACAAGCAGGTCCAGGATGAGCCTAAGGCAAGAAAACAAAGTATTTGTGCCCAGTTCTCATCAGAAAAACTTGTCCTCTTCTTCACTTCCATCTACTGATATTACTAGAAGCTCATTTTAAATTGGAGGGAAGAACTTGACTTTTACTTGAATTTCAGAATTAGAGACAAGCAATGACAATAATCACAAAACATAAACAAGGTAATGAAAATTATAAAAGGGATTTTGGAGGAGAAAAGAAGACATGATTAAGATTAGTGGAAAGAGAAGAGGTCATGTTTTTGACAGAATGAACTCCCTGTGAAGAAGTCTCAAAGGGCCCACAAAATAAGGAACCAGCCACACAGAAAGCCAGAGAATTGTTTAAGGCAGAGAAAACAATAAGCACAAGAGGCTTGTATTTGGGAACTCTATTAACATTTAAGAGGTGGAGGTGATTTTTATGCAGGCCAGTGTGTGAGGTCATCACTGTGGACTCTGACCTTTTTGGTAGTGAAGAAGAAATGTTGGTACTTGATGTGCAGTTCATATTTTATTAATTATGAAAAGAATCATGGCTTGTGTGCCTTCTGTGTTTGTTTATGGTCCATGACCATAGAACTTCAGCATTTGAACTAAGCACCATCTTCTATGCAGCTTTATAAACGAGGGTTACTCTAAAAAACTTTGAGCACATTCTCAAATTGCAGAAAATTTCCAGTCTTTGATAAAGTGGTTCTTAATTCTGACAGTTGTACATTTAATCACCTGAAGGTAAAATCAATATAGATACAGAATCTATATCTGATCAATTAAAACAGACTCGTTGGGAGTAAGTCCAGAGACTCATGGAAAAGGATCCAGTATAATTGGTAGAACTTGGAGCTAGTCATGCACACAGGGAGATGAGTGTTTACTTTTTAAAGCTAAGAATTCGGATTGATCTTTTGTGTAAAGCAAGGGAATGCTATTATAGGGTTCCTATGTATCTTTGGTCTCACGTAATTGTAACTGGAGACGGTCCATTTCATTGCTCTAATGTCCGCACTATTGCTCTAAACTATCATAGTGTAAAGAACTGCAGAGTGGACTCAGCAAAGTGCTGATCATTATTAACTAAGTACTTAATTGATAATTTTTTCCTAGGAACCCAGACCCCTAAAATGTCAGCAAATAACTGCAGAATGTTTCTCTGGAAGAAACTCACAGATCTATTGTGAGTTTCCTTCTATCTGAAATTATTACAGAAGACAAAACAGCCATGCGAAGTCCCATAATATTTAATTAAATATGAGATGGTGCCACACACTGTATATTTATATTCATAGTAGCAGCTCTGCAAATATTAGTAATGCATGTGAAAAGAACACAACAGTTTCAGAGACGTTCACTGTAGTGAGTATTGGATCCATTTAAGATTAATTCCAAGGAAAACTACTGAGCTAGCAAAAATATCTTCTGAGCTGTGTCCATATACCTACAACATATTCTTACTATCTTCCTTGCCAGTTCCAAGCCTGGCAGCACTTCCTAAAGAGCAAAGTCACATAAGTACATTCATCTGAAATTGCCCTTACTTGGATGTTTGGAGCCAATTCCCATGGAAAGCATAACACATACAGAAAATCCACTGAATAATTGTGAGTCCTCTGGACCCACGCATACTCATTTGACCAAATTACTGCTTTGTTTCTCATTCTCCTTTCAGTTCTCCTTTCATTTCATGTTACACGGAACTAGCAGTTTAACATCTCTGATTTACACATCATCTCTAATCAAGAGCTTTTTCTTCCTTTATAAATCCCAAGAGAGGGATGAGTGAGGACCAGATAGAAATCTTACATTGTATGTTCTCCCTGAGTATATAATCAAGCATAGCAGCAGATACTATTAATAAGTGAAAGTCCCATTACAATACATAGGTTTTCAATTTCTCCAATAAACATTATAGACACATACCAAATCAGATGACAATTGTCTAAACAACATTGAAACATAGGATTTTAGAAATGGAGAGGGATCTCAGTGTGGTCCCCAAGTTATTTTTCCTTTCTTAAGGAGATTCTCTATATATGCGAAGGCTATAAAATTGGAGCTCCCAGTTCTGAATTAACATGTGAGTGTGAGTAACTTACTTGTTCCTTTCTGTGTTCCAATTTCCCCATGAGTCAAAGATAATAAAAATAAATCCTTCAAACAACCTCAGTGAATCAGGGAGTCTAAGATTTAGGGTGAGTATCAGATTTTGTGTGATCTTCTCTTTGAGGCTTGACTCTCATTTTTTAATATGGATAAAAAAATCTGCCTTCTTAATGGAAAATATCTCTACTATTTCTGGACCTGGCAGATTCTACTTTTTTGCATGCAAATTTATGTCATTTTTGTAGCATTTTCTTGATCTCTAATCAACATACTTCTGTTATAACATTTTGAAGTATTATGATAATTTGTTGACAACCTGTCACTTTGGTTAAATTTTGTGCTTTCTGAGGTAGGATCCCATTGTTATTTGTTCTCTGATGTCCTGTGCCTAGCATTTTGGATGGCATATAGCAGGCTTTGTATAAATGATTGTCAAAGAGATGAAAGACAGTGTTTACAGAAGTGCTTTGAAAAAAATCACAAAAGCACTAAGCACAGCTAAGGGGTTAGGGCACTGTATTTACTACTTCTGATGTAGAGGAAAAGCACTTTGAAAAGTAAAACATTCATCCCCAAATAAAATAGTCTGATTATGACTAGGGCTTAAGCCAATAGGCAGGCTCTATTTGTCCACAGTTTAAATTGCCATTCACAGCACAAGAGATACATGAAAATTAAAATCACTTAGTTTCCCTAAACCAAGTAGAGAGCGAATAAAGATGAAACACTAAACATGAACAACAAACTCTGAAAAACGACCTTGAACTTACATCCTTCTTTATCTCCCTGTCTCTACTTTAGATGATTCCATGAGCTGCCAGGACCAGGGGCCTGTGATCTATCAGGGTTGGCTGACATTGCCTAGCTGCCTTGAATTGGTTTGACCTAATCATTAGACATTTATCTAGACTAAAAAAGGTGAAAGGACAAACGTTAAATATTCATAATATGCCATCTCCATAGCTTTACGAATGTAGCCGAAACTGGCTGCTCACTACAGTGTCCATAACCTATTCTCCCTGAAGTTTGTAGCAGCATCCAAGGATAATTCAGGGGCAGTATGTGCACACATTAAAGGTACCATTCCTCCATTTCTTTGTCAACTGTCCCACTGTCGGGGGCTGGCAACAGGTTCTTCTCTGATCATACAAGAGGTTGATGGATGGTAGCAGCAAAGGGAACATACTCTTGATAACTAATCAAACTTGAGTTCAGCAAAATAAAATCAAATCAGTTTGGAGACTTTCTCTTGCCTTCTTCCCATATCTTTGACATGGCTAGCCATGATGCTTACCCCTTTGAAACCATTTGTCTCCACTTTTTTCGTTACAGTGGTATTCATTCAATAACAACATGCTTATATTTATCTAGGACAGTTCCAGTTCATGCATGTCATTCTGGAGTGATTATGACTTCGCCTTTCACTTTCAAAAGCGACTCGGTTTGGATAATCAATCATATCATCACCTAGTAATTAGTAATGCTTGGTGCTCAAGAATGAGACAGTCCTTAGTTAAGAGAAAGGTTCGGAAACAGGTAGACTGAAAATAGATCCCACGATCTTCACGCCCAACTTAGTGGGAAACTTAGAAGAGTAATTTACCCTTCACTCTAAATTTTATTATCTGTAAAAAAGAATGATAGTTATAATTGACCTACTTCAGTGAAATAAACTGTGAGAAGGACTTAGCACAGCACTGGTTATGCAAATCCTGTCAATAGAAATTGTCATTGGTAATCCTTTTCTTCTTTCTTCTCTTACTCCATTGCTCATACTCATCCATCTTTTCCTTCACCCTTTCCTTAATTCTTTCTTACTTTTTTTCTTCTGTGTGTCATTCCAAACCTCAAGACTAAATCAATGTGATAGAAGCAGAATTTTCTTTTCTTGTTTTGAATGCTACTGAATCAGAATGTCACAGTCATGGCTCAGAGTCCTGAAGAGTGGATAGTGGAGTTCTCTCCGCCATATTTGTTGTTTGCAATGGGGATGGTCTTCGATTTCCTCACAATTCACTGGTTTTGGTAAAAGCTGGACATTGTGACGTATGCTTCTTCTTGATTTGGTCCCAGGGAAGTGTGGATGGGTGGTCCCTGAACAACTGGGTTTAAAGTCAGGATTCCTGATTGGAGAGGAAATGGTGGGGATAGAATGGTATCTGTAGTTCCAGGACTAGGTAGCAAGCCCAGGTACACATGAGGCCCATTCTTGTCACCTTCCCTGTAGTTTGGAGAATTGCAAGAGGGAAGAATAAGGCTATTGCATGTACTGACGTTTCCAGCCTGGTCTCTGTGGGGTGCTTCTCTGCTGAAAGCTTCCGGGGTGATGGCTGTGCTCTCAGAAGGCCTGTTGGGGCTGCAGACACTCCCTCCAATCCCCTGCTCCCCAGACTCCCCTAGTTGTGGAGGCAGAATGTCCTGCAGAAAACCTTGGGCTTCATCTCTAGCTTGAATTCCATCCACCTCATGAATCTGGTAGTCTAGAAAACTCTCGGGATTGAAGCTCACATTTAAATTCTGGAGAGAGAGGGAGAGAGAAGGGGCATTAGAAAGATGTGGACTAAGCATTCACTTCAGAAAAACAAATCTAAAGAATTTTCTGATGGATTTTCCTGGAATGTCACGGGATTGCCTACATGTTCTTCAGCACTGCTGGGTTTGATGCGATCACTGATGTACTCTCCAATCCCGAGAAGCCCAGTAATCCTGAGACACATATCTTACTCCAATTTCCTTTCTCCACTGAGCTGCATCTAGTATTTTTCAAGGTACATTACTTATGGAATACATAAAAGAGTGGAAATTCATGTTCTGCTCTTTCTTGTTCTGGAATATCACTTTTAGAAACCAGAATGCCAGCAGCAGGAGGCTTCTTCAGTGATCAGCAACACTTACTCTTTTTGGTTTTTTACAAAGTTGTTCCAGAGTCTTCTTATGATCTGGGAGACTAGGCCACACAATAGGCTTAATCCTGAAATCAGAAAACATTGGTAGTTAAGTGGCAGAGGGAGCAGGTCAATAATAGGTGTTTCTACTTTGTTCTGATCTTGGCTCTGTCATACTAGGTAGGTGACTATGGAGAACTAGCTTGTATTCTCTGAGGCCAGGGCCCTATTAATCTCAGGAGGGGCTGGATCAGAGATCATTGTTATTAACATACTCAGTGAATAAGACAATGATCCACCTGTGGAAAATGAGGTTTGTCAGGTGTCATTTTTAATATAGCTATAAAGCTTAAATTTGACTTGGTCATTTACCACCAATCTACATGGCAGTACTTTTTAGATTTGAGTATTTGTAATCCTGGAGATGTGGGGCTCTACGCTCGGGCCTCTCCTAGAACATTAAGAAATATAAATGGCATATCTTCTAAAAATATTTATTTTTGATGCTAAACATGACTCTATCATATGGTAGAATATAAACTTTCTAAGAACTTGAGTGCTTGAAATTAACATACCAAATATATTTTGCATAGGTAATTATTTCTATGCTTATTTGGAGACTGGAAAAAATTGAGAAATACTGCTTAAGGAATTCTTATTTTGGAAAAAGGTTCAATGAATACCTTTTTGTCTCTTTTGAAATTAGTGTAGAAATTCATTAGCACCTAAGAATGGGAGAGAGGCTGGGTACCTACAGTTCCTGAAATCTATAATTCCCCCTTGAATTTTCCTCATCACTAAGTGGAGCTTCAGCTTTGTCAGGGATTCTACATAATCAGCCTTCGGATTAATTAAAGAAAATCACCTTTTTTCCCACAACATGCAGGCTAAGATGACCACCAGAATTATAGAGAAGCAACTCAGAGTGCTGACAGTCAGCAAAATAAGATTCATCTCCCCTAGAATATAAAAAAAATGATGTCATGGTGAATACCAGGATGTACACAGGCTTTCATAAAGCATTGAGTTTATTTAGTAACATGGTCTCACTTATTATTTCTGGAAAGTTGTTCTTAATAAGCAGAAGGATTTGTCTGGCTTAATTGGCAATGATTGGGTAACCAGAATGAGATCATCAGCTACCTGAAAGGTGGAAGTGAGGCACTAGCAAAGCCATCTGCTTTCTCAACTACTAATACTGAAGTAAAGAAGCCAACACATAGGCTAAAGAGGTAAATATTCACATGAAGCAGCAATAAATGCCAGGTGAGGAGAAACTGGGGTGGTACAACAGTTCCTGCAACCTTCCAAAAGGGAAGTCTGTGTGAGGGTATTTTGGACACTTTTTCTGAGCTGTGTTACCTGGTTTTTCTGGCCATTTCATCAACATCAAGGACATATTTATCATCCTAGAGAATGAAACACAGGACAGCACCGCTGACCTGTCCACCTGTCACCAACAAAGTTATTCCTTACAGAAGTCTTAGTAAGGTCCATTGAAATCCTAGCTTAAGCAAGAGGCATGGCTAGGGATTTTATTTAGACTCAGGAGTAGCTCCAGAATACCCCAGAGAGTAGCATCAAGATACCTTCTACCATTTACCAGCTACAGTGGATTCTTCCCACCCTGCTCCCTTATTCCTCATAGAAAACAGAAGGCAGGCTGTTCTCTACAGGAAATAGAAGACTTTCTCATAAGTCCTTGCAATCAGGGAGGCTGACTTGTGTCAACCTCTCTCTCTCTCACTTTCGCTCCCACACTTTGACATTCCCACCCAGGCATTGTTAACAGTGATGCTGAACCATTGCTCACCTGGACTCTTGATCTCTGGATTTCTGAAGAAGGAACTTGGACTCCATTCACTCCAGAAGCCTTCAAAATAGTCTGTAGGAATGGATCGGACTTTAATCTCATACATTGTGTTAGGTTTCAGCTTCCTCTGCAGGAGTGTCAGCCTTGTGTTGGATAAATTCATGTGCTAAAGAGTTAAGAGGTATGTGAGTCATTTAGCATAGAAAATGAGGTACTGCTCCAGTAATTAGCTAGCTCTCTCAAATAACTTTAAGCTGAACTCCTGTAGTCATTTAGGCATCCTCATGAAGTTCTTAAATATCTCTTACACCTAGGACCTTGTGTTTGTGAAGGGATCAGTGGCAGAAGCAGGACAGAGTCTGTGAAGATCTAAGTCACTTCTAGCATTTATTTCACCAAGAATTTCTTTTCCTAGTTCAATAATTTTTTTTATCTTTCTTTCCTTTAGAAAGATACTATTCCATCTTACATGGTGAATAGTAAAATAAAGCTAATACTCTCCTAAAAATGTGTGCATTAACCCTTAAAAACAAAAGAAAATGTTCTTACCAATTTGAGAGTTCAAAACCAGCCCAAGCAAAAAGCTAGCAAGACAGACAGGTACCAAATGTTCATGTCTGTAATCTTTACTACAGGAAATTAAGATCTAATGGATCTTGGTTCAAAGCTAGACTGGGCAGAAAAGTCCAGTAGACTCCATCTCCTAAATAACCACCAAAAAACAAGGGCAGAACATGGCTTAAGTGATAGAGCATAAGCAGAGTGAGTGAAGGCACAATCCAATCAGGCTTAAGGCCTTGAGTTCAAACTCTTATGCCACTAAAAAGAAAAAAAAAATCTCCAATAATGCACCTTCATAATCTCAATCCCAGCCACACAAATGGCAATGGTAGGAAGATCATGATGCAAAGTTGGCTTTAGTATAAAAAGTCAAAGCCATGCCTGTAAGCCTAGCTACTCTGAAGGCTGAGACCTGAAGACTGTGGTTCAAAACCAGCCTGGGCAGGAAAGTCCATGAAATTCTTATCTCCAATTAACCAAGAGAAAACTGGAAATGGAGCTGTGCCTTAAAGTGGCAGAGTGCTAGCCTGAAGCAAAAAAGCTTGGGGATAACACTCAGGCACTGAGTTCAAGCCCCATGGCTGATACACATAAACACAAAAAAGTGAGAACCTGTCAGAAAAATAAAGAAAATAAAAGATACAAAAATGCAATGAATAAAATTCAGAGTTAGGTGTGTGGGGGTCAGGATTTGTGGGGTCAGCTTCAAACACAGTAGGAGGTGCTTTGGATAAAGGATAAGTTCTGGTAGTAAAACTAGAATGAGTACACCTCTGAGAGAATAACGTGTACAACATTAGGATGTTTTTATTTTCTGATCCTATTTGACGTTACCGTCCAGTTGTTTTCCTCCTTTTCCGGGCGGAAGGCTACATCATGTATTAATCGATTTGCATATGTCTTGTGCAAGTATGACATATTAAAGGTCACTTCAAAGTCATTTGCTCCCTCACGATAAATGGCTTGTACATCAAAAGGTGGATCAGGTTTAACTGGCAAGAAAAGAAGATAAAGTTTATTTACAGAGCCATCAATGAAATGATGATAATTTATTCAATCTGCCTATTCTGAAAATCATTTAATCCATTCTTTCCATCATTTCATCCTAATCTGTAGTTAACAAACTACACAGAAAGCTATTTGTTTTTCTTTTTCTTAGGTTCAAATCCAGATAAACCCAAATGTAGTTGTTCATGTCTGTAATCCTCACTACTCAGAATTAAGAGGAATATAGTTTGAGGCCAGCCTGGGCAAAAACTTCAACAGTCTCTACCTCAACCAATAACAAGCTGTGTCTTTCATCCCAGCTACATGGGAAGCATAAATGGGAGGTCAATGTTCCAGGCCAGGCAGAAAAAGAACCAAGGTCCAATTCAAGAAATAATGAAGGCTGGGAAGGTGGCTCAGTGGTAGAGTGCTTGCCTTGCATGCATGAGGCCTGGGTTCGATTCCTCAGTACCACATACGCCAAAAAAGCTGGAAGTGGAGCTGTGGCTCAAGTGGTAGAGTGCTAGCCTTGAGCTGAAGAGTTGAGGGACAGAGCCCAGGCCCAGAGTTCAGGCCCCACGACTGACCAAAAAAAAAAAAAAATAATGAAAACATAAGGAGCTGGGAATATAGCTCAGTGGTAGAGTGCTTGCCTGTTAAGCCCAAGGCCCCAAGTTCAAACTGCAGTAAAACACACACACACACACACACACACACACACACACACACACACACACACACACACACACACACACATCCAGACCAGTATTTTCTAGCCCACCTTGCACTTTGTATATAGCCTTCTGAATGATGTGGATAGAAGTAATAGCACGGCTCCAATCTTGGCCCAGAATCATACCCACATATGATCCTTATGTTTGCCGACCCCTGTTGGAGTCCTATGTTTAAGACAGTGGATCACAGGAGGGAGGGTGAGGGAAAGTCCTAAGTATTGCTTGGTGTTTCACTATTCAAAAGTTAGTAACATCCATTTTGTCTTTGATATGAATAAGAAATGAACTTGAGGGGCCAGGTGTTTTGAGCTAATTTTATACTAAAACACACTTATTTGCCTTTGAAATATTAGAGAACTTGTTGGCAACTAACCCCAATGCAGGAGTAGTTCAATGAAAACTTTAGGTCTCATTCTTCCAGTAAAACAAGGCAATGAATGCAGAGATAGGTGTCTTATCTCTGCTGCATGGAAGTGAAAGGTCTCTATCCTAACTCCCAGCTTGCACAGTGTCTTCAAAGAGTCTCCTCTGAGAGTCTCAACAGCATTAACTCTGAACTCTTCATCAGCCTCCCTCTGCCTTCTGCCTGTCTTCCTCACAGAGCTGTTAAGATTAAATGTACCACTTAAGAGAAAGTGTTAGCGGGAGGCAGGGATATTTCCAGGCAGAAAAAAAAAAGCCAGAAAAAAAGTATTGGCTTCCTAGGGAAGCCAATCTATATTAAGCCACTTTGACCTGAGACTTCTCTGTCCTGGTCTTGGTACCTCCTTTAGTCTGGAAAATTATCTGTCACACAGATCTACCTCTAATGTACAGCTAGCTGAGCAAATTAGGGAAAGTTGCTCCTTCTTCAAGCAATATTAAAAAAGATTAATATGTCCTTATATCATCTGAATGATCACATCAATCTACCCTGGTCAAGCCACATGGGAAGACTAGAAACTGCCCCTCCAGTTTCTCTGGGTGGGGACATCTAGGGAAAGGGAAGAGAGGGGGCAGGTGGTCCCAGTGGGGGTTGGAGGACTCTGGCTCTGGACTCCATTCAGGAGCATGCAGTTGAAATTCTATTAAAAGGTAATCTAATACATGAAATGTTATGGAGGAACCAGCACAAGATGCTACTGAGCTCATGCTGGACTCCCCTTTCACTGTAACCTGTGCTACCGCAGAGTATCTACTCAGCTTCTCCCCAGGTCATGGTCATAGCCTGTTGATGAGAATGTGGGCCTCCAGGATCCCTGGGCACATGAGATCTGGATCGGATGTTACATGGTGTCACATAACATGTGCATACGGATTGTGTGCATTTCCACGAATGCAAGGGGGCTTATTTGCTGGGGTGGGTTTGTATGAGAAGGAACTCTCCCCTGATGTTCCAGCCCTGCTCTTTGAGGAAATAAATCTCTGGCTTCTACTTACCCGAAGAGAAGTGAATATAACTGTGCAGTGTAAATGATGATCTTTCAATATGATGGCTTTGTGTAGGGCACAAACTGAAGAGGTATCCAGAAATGCTTAGTCTCCAAATGACCAAAATCCAGCTTGCTCATGCCTACACTCAGGGATATTCTGCAGTAGGAATCCTTACCTCAATAGGACTGAACACTAGTGTGGCCAACATACCATAAAGTTAACATATACAACCTAGTGTTTCTTTCCTACCACATCTGCTTGTTCAGTCAAGATCATCATTCACACATGGAACCTCTGCTTTTATTCTTCATTTCAGGATCTTAGGGAAGTAAAGTTGAACTGTTTCTCACTCTTCCTGATCTCTAATAATTGTTCTCTCACTTTTAATTTTCTTTTGAAATGATGCAAAGAGGTCGAAAACAGAGTATATAAGTAAGTATCTTAGAGTATATAAGTATCTTTATACTTATGTATATACTTACTTATAAATCTGCAGAGGTACAATACATTCATATCTTATTCTCCCATTGTACTAATTCAAATTACAATTTGGATTGAATCATAATTTTTTGATTCACTTGCAGCAAAGTGTAATGTATACATTCTGAGTCACATCAGATTTGGCCATGCTTCATGCCTCACTTATTCTCATAGGAAACCATGACATCTTATTTGTCAAGCTATTAGTTAAGCTATGATGTTTCATTGTTTGGTTGAATGCCAATTTAAATAACTTCTGAATGACAAAAATTTGAATTAGTAGACCTAGTATGAAGCAGATCACCTTTCATAATGTGATAGACATCAGGTAATCTGTAGGCAAGAAAAAAGACTTGAGGTTCCTTGAAGAAGAAAAATGTTGTTTTTAAAAATGCAATAAAGAAAACCTTTGGTTTTCTGTTCTACAGAATTTGGATTCAAGATTGTAACACTTGAAACTTCCTAACATTCATTCTTAATTTCCAGGCTTCTAGCTTACCCTACAAATATCAAGTTTTCTAGCCTTCACAATCATATGAGTCAACTCCTTAAAATAAATGTGTTTACAGTCCATCTATCTGCCTACTATATATCTGCTGTCTATCTATCTATCTATCTGCCTAGTTATTATCTATCACCAATCTATTTCTCATGTATCGATCTATCCACCTGTCTACCTATCTCCCTTTTATTAGATCTCTTTCTTCTGGATAGTTCTAATAGGGAAGTATATTTTAAAATAGCTTGACAATTTAGCTAAGCACACTCAGAAGATGGTGCAAATATGTGCAGAAAAGTATAAGGAATTCAGGAAGAGGTATGATGAAGAAGGAAAGAACTTGTATGAATAAATGGCAAAGGGCTTATCTTCAGTTAGATATGCAAATCAATTTGATCTTCCCTCAGTGTGTAGCTGTCAAACACACAGCTTTAGTTTAAAGATTCTCAAAATTGTCTCACAGTAGGAATGAATATTATAAGAATCTATTCTTTTCATTTAATAAAATGGTATCAGATAATTAACTATTATCTATTGTGAATTGTTTCCATAACCTGCTTACCTTTAATATACAGAATGTTGAAACACAGAGTCAGCAACAAATATCTAGACCACGACAAACATGTCTTTCTAACCACCTCTTACCTATTTTGCCTATGTCGAATATTTTGCAGTATATGTTTTTTTCTCCAAGCTTCACACATATTCTGCTTTCACCAATCAGTAAGAATCGTTTTGTCTTGAGGAAATACATCTTTTGCATTTTATTAAGACTCAAGCAATTTACACGCATCAGAGCTCCACTGTAGAAACAAAAAAGAGACTATCTTGATTTAGGTAGAAGCTTCATATGACAGAAGTTTCATATGACAGCAACAGAACCACATGTATGACTACGTATGGCTTAAACTTCAATCTCTCTCTCTCTCACTCCCTCTCTCTCTCTCTCTCTCTCTGGGAATGTGAAAATGAATGCTCAAGAGAGAAAGACAATGAATTAAAATAATGTAGCTCCCTGTTCCATTACAATCAATGATGATTTATTCTATCATTAAAAGTAAGCATACTTGAAATAGTAAAAAATGCTTATGAAAATTAGGGAAATTTCCTGAATATTTACAATTATTAAAAACCAAAATTTTGATGGGAAGAAATTTTTTTTGTTGTTGTTCTGCAGGAATAAATGGAGAAAATCAAGTTTGTAAAAAAGGGACACTTCCCTCTCCCTGAAGCAGGGTTAAAAAGGAAATGTTAAAATATTCTAAAAAGCTCTATATTTAGTGGATAATTTTAGCAATGTTTCATTGGCAATTTTGGCTGATGAACCAGATCAAGAAAAGAAAGAACAAGATCAAGAAAAAAAATCAAAGACGTAAATTATGAACATCTGGACTGTAACAAGACACTTCACTATAGATTATTAAAAGATTGTTTTAAAAGAATAGTAAGAAAAAATTTATGCCAACAGAAGTAATAGCTGCAATATAGTAAAATTTTCTTATAAATACAAGTTAGTGAAAGTGGCCCAAATACAAAATGGTATCTGAATAGTTCTTTTTCCTTTAAAGAAATGACATGTATTATCAACATGCTGAATGGCTACAGGCTGGTGAGTTCCATCAAATATTTCTATTGAAACACTAGACTGTTTTCAACATATTTGATGATTCTGCTTAACCCTGGTACCAAAATCTGACAAATTTAATATAGAAAAATAATTAACAATGTCCAACAAGTGTCACTTTTAAATGTATATACAACATTCCTCAAGGAAACTGGAGAAAATTGATACGAGCACAATATCAGTCTTGGCACAGTTTATACTGTACTAAGATGAATGTCCCAGGAAGAAAAGTAAGTTCAATAGTGAAAGATCAATCAATAACATTTACTACATTAACGAAATAAAACATAAATAATATATTCATAATTGCTGTGTTTTTTTCATAAAATTCATGATAAAAACTTCACAGATTTAAAAAATAAAACCAGCAAGACCAGTGCTCAATCCAATAAAAAACATTTTTAAAAATCTGGTAATTAATATGATATTGAATGATGTAATTGTGAGCATTAATTATTTTCTGAGATCAGGATAAGAAAGAGCCACTTTTTTACATTTTACTCAACAGCATAGTTCACAAGAAAAGAGAACCAAATAAAAGATATTCAGATTAGCAAGAAAGAAAAAATTCATCTTTTATTTATAGAACATGTCATTATTCACAGAAGAAATTATAAAGTGGCTCCAGTAAAACCATAGTAACTACCCATTACCCAAAGGTCAATTTTAGTTCTATAAGTTAGCATCAAACAATTAAAAATAAAGTTTAAAAGGACAATTTCATTTATGATAACCATGAATACCAAATTACCTGGAAATAAAATTTATGAAAGATATTCAAGGCCTTTGTTCTAGAAAATACAAAATATTCCTCAGAGACACTAAAGACAATAAAAAAGAAGAGCTATATTTGTGGATTAGCAAAGTCAATAGTGATAAAATATTTTTAATTAAGCTTAATTAAAAATATAAGATTGAAAGATAACAGTAAACTGATTCAAAAGTTATGTGGAAATATAAAGAGCTCAAAATAATCACAACAACATTGACAAATGTGTAACAACATGGAGCATTTAGGACATTAGATTCCAAATTTACAAAAAAATCTGTAATGATCAGACCTATATATTATTGGCACAAAGATTGACCAGTACAAAAATAGAGAGTTCTATAATAGACTGAAATATGCAAATGTGAGGTTAACTGACTTTAAAATAGCAACTTGGGGAAGATGGAAAGGAATGGTAAGGGGAAACAAAGGAGGAGGAAACAATGCTTGATAAGAAATGCACTCATTACTTTGTCCATGTAATTGTAACCCCTCTGTATGGTATTTTCACAATGAAAAAAAAAAAGAAAAAATAGCAACTTAGTAATTTTAATGGGAAAAATAGAAAGTCTTTTCAGTAAATTTTCATGAAAGGTATACAAAAGAGAAAACTTAGTTTTCACACACTTATCTAGATGTAAAATCTAGAACTATAAAATATTTAGAAGAAAGAAAGAAAATAAACATGGCAGCTTTCTATGGTGAAATGAATATTGGACCTTTTTTTCTGCATCTGCTCAAGTGAGTCCTTTCTAGGAACTCTGTAGAGAAAGGGGAGTATGTATCTGTATCTCTGGGTGAGCTGGACATTGGACCCAAATCTGAGACACATGTCTCAAGTACAGAATCTCATTCTTTGGGATCACTGTGATCTCTGAATTATGAAAACTGGAGATTAGTTGAAGGAAATGTAAGGTAATTGGTTAAAGATATTTATTATCTGTAAAACGTTTCTTAAAATTTCCCCCCTTAACATGTAACTTTTGTTACCTGCCATATTTTAGAGGATCCAGTTGTTCAGACTTTGAAGTGTGTGTGTGTGTGTGTGTGTGTGTGTGTGTAGTTTGTAGAACATTATATCCTTTTTGGGACCCATTTCTGAATTTTAGGTATAGTAAGTTAAGCATGAGTAGAATATTGAGTTATACATCCTAAGCCTATAAAGTATTTTGGTACTTTGGGATAGTAAGTAGTATCTAAAATAGTATTCTTAGCTCATTTCTATTTTTTATAGAATATAATTAATGGGCCACAAAAAATCGTATAGCTATTTTATGGACCTGGTTAAGGGTCTTGGAAACTCTAGGAGCTTCCTCAGGTGGAGGGAAATTCATGCCAAAAGACAAAGGTAAACCCAGCAAATTAGAACAGATAGCCTTTTTGCTACTAATTCTCATTTTGTGTGTCTGGAGCATCAGTATCCCTTTGTGCAATCCAAATCAATTCCAGTCAATTCAACTAAACTAATTTACTTCATTGTCAAATATATGTTGCCTGACTTACGAATGTTCTAGTACTTTGAACAATAACTACTACTTTTTTTGTGCTGATTGGATAATTGGAATGTGGTTGGTCCAAGATGCAACATGACCTTAAACCTTTTGAACTACACACTGCATTTTGAATATTTACTGTAAAAAAAAAAGGTAAAACATCTCATTAATATTTATGTTCCCAAGGACTGGGAAGTTGGCTCAGTGGTAGAGCGCTTGCCTTGCATGCATGAGGCCCTGGGTTCAATTCCTCAGCACCACATAAGCAAAAAGAAAAAAAGCCGGAAGTTGCACTGTGGTTCAAGTGGTAGAGTGCTAGCCTTGAGCTGAAGAGTTGAGGGACAGTGCCCAGGATCAGAGTTCAAGCCCCACGACTGGACCCCCCAAAAATATTTATGTTAATTTGACTACGTATTGAAATGATAGCTTGGGTTATATTGGGTTAAATAAAATATACTTTTAGAGCTGACTTTATTATTTCTCTTTTTTCTTGTTTAAAATGAAGCTATAGAAAATTCAAAATTGCATATGTGCTTTAAGATTTGTTCATTGTATTATATTTCTCTCAGACAGAGCTATTCTATGGTATTGAATGGTAGGTGAAGATAATAGCATGTATCCATCAGCATAATAGTCGATATGGATTTGATCATGTAAGGTCTTCCTAGGGAGTGTCAGCCTTAAGTCAGTCACCTCCAAAAAGGCAGAAAGTTTGGGGAACCATTTAACCTGGTTCTTAACCTCCCCTCAACCTTCTCTAGTCTTGAATAGTTCAGTAGGTAAGATTCTTGCCTCTTACTTTTGAAAACAGATACTTATATGAAGTAATGAAAATAGAAACAACAACCCCCACCTCCCCCCTGCCCAAATCCAATTAAATCCCCCAAGTGTCCCTGGAAGAAATATAACTCCAAAACTCTGAACGATTTGGCGTGTTAGGGTAATTGGCTGTCTCAAGGACTGTATGAATGCTTGGGAGATAACAGTAGTTCAGCCTGACACTTCTGGGTGTGGTCCGTGACTATGGTGGAAATGACTGAAAACAATGACAGATTTGAAGTGGTATCTGGAGGTGGCACATGGGAGGGGTTGTGGGTCCCCCAAGAATTTGGAAGTCAAAGAAATATGATTGCCTTTTGAGAGCTGACGCAAGCATTCAAGGAGAAGCACCCCAATTTTAAATGCCCATAGAATCTACAAAGATAATTTAGGTGAGAGAAAAATGGTCTTAACTTCAGTACTAAAGATAAATTCTCCATTTGTAAAAGGGAGCCAAAAGTCCATTCTAGCTTTTTTTTGGGTATGGATCCAGCACTAGTCAATTTAATTTTTAAGGGAGAGAGAAACAGATTCTAAACAGTGAGTAATTTATAAGCAAAGGAATTACATTGATATTTAAATCAGTGTAACTCGTCTTAAAAATCACCAAATTTTCTTTGCTTTGTTTGATTACATTTCTAATGAAAATCAATGTATGCTGAGAGAACTCAGTACCATTTGTAGACATTTACCATTGCCAGACATTCACTCCATGAATTCTGATGCAATGTAGTTGCTATGAAGAAAGCCTGGATTACAGAACTAATTCAGTTATTCTATCAAGATTCCATACCATGTAGCTCTTTTCCAGATGTCTCTGCTTTGTTACCCAAGGCATATGGCTTTTGGCTAGAGTTTTGATGGATAAAATTAGTAACCCTACCAAGTAAAAGTGAATGTATTTTGATAGGCAACCTGCTTCCCCCCAACACACACTCACAATAGGTCCTGATGCCAGAATCAGTATTTAAATTGTATCATATCTATCAATTTAGAATGGTCAATTGGCGCACTGGCAATCCACCTCTATGAGTTTGATTAATCTGAATCTAACTTCACTCTTGAGATTTGCTAACTGAACACTACTAACTAAATCTGTTTTTTGGACTGGTAAGATAATGGTCATGCCTAAGGTAAGGTAGTTAAACACATCACTTTATGAGAGACAGCAATTGACATCTACTGATCCAATCTATATAACTTCATCAGCAATCATAGGATTCTAATTCAGTTTTTATACATTTATATTAAAAGAAAATAAAAGCACCAAAAAGCCAGTTTTATTTATCAAACTTAACTGGCAAATACAGCATCCTGGAATTTAATTGCCTGTTCTAAATGCAAGGGAAATTAATTGCTTCTTCTGAACCCAGAGGCTACATGAATTTCCTAGTCAATGTATAGATAACTTCTTTTGAAAGTGGCTGCTTTCTGGAAGTTCATTTCACCCATGTTTTAAGAAAATCCTTTTCCAGATGGAAATATCTGAATCCATTTGAGAACTCCAAATGGAAGCTCTAGACAGAGTATAGTAAGACATACATAAAATCAAGAGACGTGCTAATGGAAGTAGGGAAATCTGTTCACTTGGGTAGGAAGTGGTTAAATATCCTGTGAATGAAGTGAACAGAAAGGTCAGCCTTGGCCTCACCAAGACAAACCACAGTGCTCATGACTGTCTACCAACAAGATAGTTGGAGAACCCCAAACCATCATTGTGTGGGAGTGGTTTTCTTTCTTTTCTTATTGAATTGAGGATTGTTTGAATGAGTTGTTTGGCTGTTTTAGCATATCCTAGTTGGGGCATCTGTAGGCAAGTGTATGATAGAACTGAACTAACAGACACTGAGAATACATCACAATTGTCAAATCCAACACTATTGGATGAATATCCAATAAATGTGGAAGAAAGCCTCGCATGAATACATGCAGGAAGCGCCGTTAGATTAAATAAGATCAATTGAGGGAGGTTGGGATTTGACTGGTGGGAAGGACAAAGGAAGTTAAATACAGTTTAGCTAAATTATTTGCAACTCTGAAACCTGTTAGGGATATTACTGGATGTAATTGAGAGGATGATATTTATTGGAATGCAGTGTGGAGAGGTAGCAATGAAATCTCCCCTTATTTACCCAATATAAACTAATGTAAATAAATAATAAATAAAAAGGACTTGTCAGGAGTGTAGATGGTGAAAACGTGTCTCAGCAAACTGGTTTTAAGATCTGTTTCACTACTATCTTGACATATTTTTTTTATTAGGAAACTAATGAAAAATGAGATCATCTGATGTGAATTTAGAGATAGCCACAAGTGAAAATTTTATGTTTGAGGATTTTTTTTCAAGGTGCTAGAGATAGTAACCTTGGCAACAAAAGATAACTTGTGAGGAAAGGAGAAGATAAAACTTCCTGAGCTGTTTACCAACTCTCAAAGTAAGTACTTCCTTTTTTTCTTTTTCCTTTTCTGAAGTCTTATGATACAGTGACCCAACTTAACTCTGGTGGGTTTTGAAAAAGTTTATGTTGGGTATATGATCTAGAGACAAAGTGTTCCAAGAGAATGTAAGGTATAATTTCATAGACTATGAATTAATGTCTCTTCTCCATTATTCACTACACATTGGTTGATTGTTTGTTCTAAGTGCTTTCCATGTGTTGAACTAATTACCTCAGCTCTCTTATACAATCAACCATCTCATTGTACAAGAGAGGAAATGGAGGCACACATAAGTTATATAACTTGCTGCAGGTCAGGAAGTGTATGGATTAGAAATCAGCCAACTTTTAAATGAGAAAAGTGTAACAGAGTTACTTTCAATAATAGCATTTTCTTTCTTTCTTTTTTTTTTTTGGTCGGTTGTGGGGCTTGAACTCTGGGCCTGGGTGCTGTCCCTCAGCTCTTCAGCTCAAGGTGAGTGCTGTACCGCTTGAGCCACAGCACCACTTCCAGTTTTCTAGTTGTTTATTGGAGATAAGATTCTCATGGACTTTCCTGCCTGGGCTGGCTTTGAACCGTGATCCTCAGATCTCAGCGTCCTGAGTAGCCACTGGTGCCTGGCTTAATAATAGCATTTTCTTTATGGGCTTATTATTATGATAGTAACAATATAGTAGTCTTTTGCTTTTCTGAAAAACGAATCAGCCAACTTCACTGAAAATCACAATCTGAACCCACTAGATTGCCTCAAAGCAGATAAATAGATTCTTTGTAGAGAAATGTTATATGAGAATCCAAGTTTAAATTCTATTATAAAATTGGGAGGAAGAACTATAGAAGAATTGAGACCTGGAGACCTAACAGATGAACAGTGAGAGTTGCTTTAATATAGTCCCTTGGCAAGGGGCACAGTTCTAACACTTGATAACTTAACTAGATATTCCTTCTTTTGCAGGTACTAAAAAGGGCACATGTAGTAAGAGATTGAAGATTTATTTCTCAACACCCAAGAAACCATATTCCTCACCATATTTCCATTTCCAGATTGGTGCTGTTGATGTCTGGGTCATTAAAAATACACGTCAGTGAGTGCTGAGCTCCATCGACTTCCAACTGACTGTAGCACCAGAAGGAGTAGTCATCTAGTTCTGCATCTTCCAAGTCTCCTGTGGAGGAACCAACAAGCAACTATTACTGAGATGCACAAAAATCTTCCTTCAGAGCTGTCTTGATCTTTCTCTTGGGAGTTTCTACCAGCCCTATACAACGAATATAACAGATGTATTACTATTTAGATTCAGGTGCCCTGTGGATCAGCTTTGTCCATACAAGTTTTCACTATATAAGTAAGCCAGATGCAGAATCACATGCACATACACACAAACGTATTAACTAAACGATAGCATATTCAGGGGGCAAATTTCAGCAGTAGAACTCCTTTGAACTACTAACTTACAGTTTCTCAAAATGAATACCAGGAAGCTAGAACATATGTTATGGGGGAGGAGGGTTAAAGAAAGGGGCAGATGAATGGAGAGAGGAAGGGTGGGGGACAATGCAGTCATGGTATTCAATGAACATATGTGAAAATGCAACTGAGTAAATTGAGGGGACGGGTGGGTTGCGAGGTATAGGGAAGAAGGATCAAAAGGGTGACTTTGATCAAGATAAACTCATAAACTGTCATGTTGAATTAAAACCTCTTTGTACAACTTAAAAATAAACAAAAAAAGTTAAGACATAGCTCACATTCTAACTGCTGCCAATTACTAGAAGAAGGCCCTTTGCTCTGTAACCTGAAAGAACAGGTCTGTTGCAAGATCTCACACACAATGCAAATTAGTGTTTATATGGGTTTCCCTGGCTCTTAAAGTCACTATGTTTAAGAAGCAACACATTGACTTATTAGCAAGTGTTAGTGGGAAAATTGCTGTATAGTTAAGAAAAATTCCCTCCAATGATGTGTAATGTTGTATGACATTTGACAAAGAAAATGTTCTATCTGATGTGAGCTAAAATCCACAGCTAAGAGTAATTTACATAATGGTTAAGATTTTGATGTTCTCACTGCACAGATGTGGGGTTAAATCTTGTCTGAACTACTGTGCAGTATGGTTATTTAACCTTTCTAAGACATTGTCTTTGATGTAGAAATTCATCTTTTAGGAATCTACAAAAAGACTTAGCTTAGAGCACAGTAAGCTCTCAATAAGGATTAGCTCTATTATCATTTTTGAGAAATGATTAATGAAAAGGTAGAGTAAGATATACTTGAGACTTGCAGTTCATTTGTAAGTAAAAGTTCTCTATCGATTGGAGGTATTATAAGTATCATTTTAAATTACCTAAGAATTTCAACACTGAGTTAATGTATCCTTCAATAATTGTTAATACTTTAGTAGGGACCAAAACTATAGTTAAAATTTGTGCCCAGGCACTGCTGGCTCATGCCTGTTATCCTAGCTAGTCAGTAGGCTGAGATCTGAGAATTGTGGTCCAAAGCCAGCCTGGGAAGGAAAGTTCATGAAACTCTTTTCTCTAATCACAGAAAAAGTTGCAGGTGGTGCTATAGCTCAAGTGGTAGAGTGCTAGCCTTGAGCAAACATTGCTTAGGGATAGAGCACAGGCCCAGAATTCAAGGCCCAGGACTGGCAATAAATAAATAAGATACATAAGATAAATAAATAAGATAAATAGGTATAAAAATGTAAGAGTTTTAAAAATATGTATTTTAAGCAAGGCAACATGATTTTGAAGACTTCTTTCTGCTGAATGAAATTAGATGGATAGCAGTTCAAATGGCTTAGCATTTTTCAAAGTATTCTTGTAGTGTCTTGATCATCTTTGTGATTATCAGAGTGTTAACATCTTTCACCCAACAACTGCTGCTTGTTTATGAATTTCTTATACACTCACTGAAAGTGTTTTGATATTATTATATGGTTACATTCATTGTTACAGACTCCTAAAACTACTGAAATTTTTAAAGCTGAAGCAAAAATTTAGTCTTCAACTTTATATCTTATTTCTTTGGAAAAGTAGTGTGATTGCTAGAAAGAAATAGGGATAATATGGTATATCAAAGGACAATAAGGTTTTCAAGGTTCTTGCCACACATCTGTCTTTGTGTAAATCTGAAGAAACATTTTGCATGAAGGAACAATTCTCCTTTAGCTCACTGTGAAAAATGTCATCCTCTAACTATTCGCTTAATGAGAAAATGCATGAGTTTTCCATCCTCGATAATTACCAAGTAAATTGACTCAAATATGTAAGTTGAGGAACTATGATTAAATAAATATGATTCAAAATACCTAAGTTGAGTTATTAGCCTGGTGTGTTGGTATTTTCTATAAGGAAAATTATATAGACATCGACCTATGTTATTAGATGGAGACGGGAGGGGCGGGGACAGGGAGAGAGACAGATTCACTATGTAGCCCAAGCTGGCCTAGATATCACTACATAGACTGGGCTGGCATTGAACTTGTAATCTTTATGCCTTAGCTTCTCGAATGCCTTCTGAATGTGCAACCATGCTTGCTAATCTCAGGAAATTACTTTTTTAATTTTTAAACTGAAAAAGCTTAACTTATAGGAATAATTTGTAGTCTAACTTTTCATGTGGTCCTGCTATTGCCAAATGCTTTGGTCTATAATCCTATTTTAATTATAATACATTTGCTAAGGAGTGAAGATATTTCCAGAAAGCAGGCATTTAAGCATTCTAGAGAATATTATTATGCATGTGAGTTGTTCAATAGGAAGGTGATGAATGTATTTCAATAAGACAACTCATTCAGATCTCTACTGAGCTACTTATTAAGAATCTAAGATGAATCTGGCAAACCTATAGGATTTTGAAGAATTGTCCATGCACTGAGTGACTATTATGTTCTAGACAGTGACTAGTACTAAGGATATAGTACTGAGGATACCGACAATGCAAAGAAAGCTACTATTTCTTCAACATTTACTTTATCATTTAAAATATTTTGGAATCAGTTAAGCCAAAGACAGCTGATTTCTAGACAACATAAAATTACCTTAGAAACTTTCCCAACAACTCATATCATTGATATGAGTGTGCTGTTTAGCAGAAGCACAGTCAACATTTGAGATCTGCATTTAGAGAATCAAATTTAGTCCCTCTTGGCAATGCCCACAGTATTGTCCCATGCTCTAGTTGCATAGGGGCTAAATATATGGTAAGTATGTGGGCTCTATTCATAGGCAAGTGCTAGGTCCAGGTCTGTTAGGGAACAGAGGAATCCAAAGCATATGTCTGAAATAATTTAAAATCCTTAAAAAAAAAGTTAGAAATGACTCACCATTCTGTGCATAGCCACTTTCTCCAGAAACAACTTGAAGTAAATAGTAAACGATGCCAAAAGCTGTACCTAGAATCATCATTCTGAGAAATCAAGAGGGAACAAGAGAGAGACAGAGAGAGACAGAGACAGAGACAGAGAGACAGAAAGAAAGAGAGAGAGAGAGGAGAGAGCAGAAGTGTAAGCCTGTGTGTATAAATGAATGAGAGAGAGAGACAGAGAGATTAGGTCTACAGCTCTAAACTTACTTGACCACAGACAGGAGGAAGTTATATATACAGCATAAAAAAGGCAAATGCCAGAAACAGGAAGTCTGAATAAAAAGATTGCTTTTATCAGCAGAAGTAGAGGAAATTAACAGATAAAATAATTTAAATTATTGTACTTCTCTGGTATTCCTTAAGTGTACAGGGCCAACTTCAGAGTTGGTAGATTTTGTGTGAAAGCTCAAGTAGTCTTCAGCCCAATTTGAAAGGACCAAGAGACAAAGATCTAAATTTATGAAGTCAACTGATTGTATGGGGGTTTTTTAATGAAAGATTCTGGGATTTATGAAATGTAATGTGGTGTAAGTTTGCTTTAAATAGCTTTTTTCCTAACCTCTAAAATTCACATGACCAGTAGATTTTCCGTTTTATTCTTTATTATCTCTAAAACTTATCTATATCTCATTCCTATAGTAGGCATTTAGAATTATTTGTTTAATTCAGATCTTGGCAAATTGGGGTATAGGAACCCCGATTTTTTTGTAGTCTGTAGTGGCTCTCGTAGCAGAGTTGTGTAGATAAGACAGAAGTTACATGCTACATAAATCATAAAAACTTTATCATGACTCTATAGAACAAAGTCAGCTAAGTTCTTGTTTTAAGCACAAAACATTGATCAAGATGTGCTGTACTCACAAACATGTTGAATTAAAACCCCTTTTTACAAGTACTTAAAGATAAGTTCAAAAAATAAATGCGAAATAGTTATTAGTGTATTTTAAACAGGATTCTACTTGTGAAAATCAAAATTGCCACCCCACTTCTTAGAAACATATAATATACACACTCTATCCTGATACTTTGTTATATAGGAAAAACAGAGAATAACATATAATCTGGTCTGCCCTTAAACTTATATAAGAACCAAAATTGTTCCCATTAAGGCCTCATGGGCATATTTGGGAATATAAGAACAATGGGATGTACAAGGCACTATGCAGAAAACAAACTTTATAACTTGTTGGGGGGGAAGAGGGAGGTGGGAAGGTGGGGAGGGAAGGGATGGTAGGGGAAAACAAAGGAGGAGGTAACAATGCTCGATAGGAAATGGACTCATTACCTGACCCATGTAACTGTAACCCCTCTGTACACTATTTTTACAATAAAAAACATAAAAAAGAACATATTAGGGGAATGTAGATAGAGAAACTAGTAAGTGATTATGCATTTTTTAAATCAAGCTGGCTTTTTGGTAACTGTTTTTTTTTTTTTTCTTTAAGACAGCATCAGGTTTTCCTATTAGGCTCCTTGTAGTTCTGTCATCAAAGGATAAACGATACCTCTTGTAATTCATAACTTCTGCTCAGGTCTTTAAAGGAATCATCAACTTGGGTTAAGGCCATAAAATAGCAATCTCATCATTCTCTATGGGCTCTCTTGGCAAGAAGCAGCCAGGCTGTGTTTTTAAGATGATGAATACACAGCAGCTGAGCCGACAGTGAATTATGGACTTCTATTTGATTTCCTGTCATTGGATCAAATTGGTCCCACAGCCTGTAAAAATGGCTTAAAATAAACAGAGATGAACAATCAAATCTCCTGAGATTTGAAGCCAATCAATGTCTCTGAAAGCTGAATGAGTTAGCTTGTCTCATCCAGGTAGCTATTTATGACTATCTAATAAATTTACAAGAAAAGAAGTCAGGTGCTTTGGTCTCTAGAAACTTCTACTCAGTTTTGAGAGAGCATTGGGTATAAATATGTTTGTACCAGGTATAACTCCATTCTGTGGATTAAATGGCCAAGGAGATTTAGAACAAAAAGCCAATTGAAGTGTATTCTGTCCTTTTCATCCTTCTTTTGCATTTTTTACTTCCCTACAAGAAACAAATTGGTGATATTTTGTGCCTTCTGTAATAAGTTTTGTCCTCATTTCTGATCTGGAAGCTTGGGTAAGGGAATTGTAAGGCTTATTCATTAAAAAAAAAACCAGTATGTTTTATGCATTGAGCTGAATAGCCTTTTAAGAAACTTGTAATTATATATTCCATGAACTAGAAAATTTTGAATGAGAAATCACAGATTATATCTGCCTACTATCCTGAATTTCATGAGCTGTTCGCAGATGATCACTTTTTGAGTGAGTAATTGGACCATGTCTCTTTAAATTCTCTTGTTTATCTTTTAAGTGGACCATCATTTTGATTGTATCTCTTTCCTTCAGTTGTGAAGATGTAAAAGAACAAAGTCAAGAGACAATATTTTGATACAGCCTGTGCTAGTTTGCTCAGGGGATTTCCACTGGTAAGTTTACCCCCTTTGGGTGGGGCAGGAGAGGGAGAAAAGACCTGAGAGATAGACACCTAAATAAAGCAGAGGGAGCTCAAAGAAAAATGAAAACACTCATCAATCCTTCAAGGAATTGTGGGAAACTTAATGGTTCCTTGTCTTTCTTACTTGGGTCTAAGTAGTTCCTTGAAATTGACAAAAAGTGGAGGAAGAGCCCAAAGAGCTAAGGAAGAACCCTCTTGCTGGAACTGTTCCTCACATAAAACAATTACTGGGTCTCTTTGTCGTTATCATTCTCGACAATAAAAGACAGAACAGAGGATGAGGAGGACTCTGCAGAACATGGATGCCTCACTGCAAAACCAGCACTGACGCTTTGGACTGTGGCCAAGCAGGTCTTTAAGCAGGGAAGTTTGCTTGGACCATTTGACTTCCTCTCCTTGCTACCTTCTCTTCTCCTTCTTTAGTTTCATGAGTTCTTATGATGTGACAAACCATCTTGGGCAAATCCAACACACCCATCTCATAAGACTCCCCATACCAGCTGCTCAGGTCTCTCCTGTCTTGCTTGCTTTTGTAATTTTTCAGGCTATCTATGAACCTTATAAAACTTGTAAAGAGATTTTTTTCTTTACTTTTACATTGTAAAAGCTTACATTGTGTTCATATCTAATCTAGAGCCATAGAGTCGAGAGTTGAATGTTCAGTGAGACTTCAGATTCTAGAATGCAATGTGTTACTTCTGTACTTGATTGTTGTCATTGTTGTTGTTAACTGAAAATGGAGCCAAGAAGACCCTTATCACCCAGTTTTTTTCCAGGCAAGAACAAAACATTTTCTGAGAAAATTCAGGCTGAGTATCTTAACTTCCTACTATCCTTACTTATTTAGATTCATCTCTTTGGAACAGAAATTTCACCTCTATACTTTATTGAAATGACAAATACTAATGTATCAGCTGTCAGCATCTCTGGGAAATAATCTGTTGCCAGAGAAAAAACAGCTCTCAGAGTCAGTTTTAATCTTGTTATTTTATTTTAATTTTTAAGCCATTTGTTCAAATTTATTTTATATGTCCCATTTTCAGATTTATTTTTAATTCAAATTTTATTCATATTTTTTAACTCACACCATTGCAAAATAACCCCTCATTTGTAATTCGTATTTGTGTATAATTCTTTATGTTTTCAGACTGAAGGTAGAGAGATTTGAATCCAACATGGCTTCTTTATTTTCTTCTTTCCCAGTGGTTTTGTTATATATTTCAAATAACAGTTGGGCTTACAGGTTTCTGTAGATATTCTGTTTTATAGTTCTTTTTCTTATTATGTGGCTGGCGTGAGTTGATATTATTTTTAATCAAATTGGGAAAATCAAAATTGTGTAATGAGGCACATTCAGAAATGTCCTCGTCCTTCCCTGTATCGGGTCTCTCTTCCACTGTCACACAGGCATGGCCAATCCCAGTGCCCTTGCCCTGGCTTTCCTGTGTCTCCTTATATATTGAATGCATTTTAATTACCACACAGTCAGTTCTTAGATGCATTTTTATAAAATAGTCCTATACATTTGGTAATTCGTCCACAATGAGAATGATTTAAGCCACTCATTTTGAGCTTGCAAATTGAAGTAAAACAATCACCATCAAAATGACAGGCAGGTGATGTGGCAACAGAATCACCTGAGTCCAAATACAATCTGGGTTCAGATATTCAAGAAGTCCCAAATCCCATTCTACGAAATCTATATTAACTGAATCCTCTTAGTAACAACTTACTTTCCTTAATTAATGAGTTTTAGCTTAAGGCAAGAAAATTTGGGGCATCTGCTTTCTTCTAGGGGAATAGATAGGCCTTCTCAGTGGAGTGAATGACGATCCTAAGAACCATGGCAGAAGGAAAGCGGAAAAAGCCAAGGGTGTCAAGTAGGTGAGGATAGATCAAAGCAAACACAGTGTTGCTCTAATCTGAGATGAACTGTGTTAGGACGTGTGTCAGTAGATGCTGACTAAGTCCCTAGGGCTCTCAGGGGATTCCTAGCATCTTGAAGTTTCATTTCCAGGTTCATAACATTTTTCTTCTTGTGATTTTTGTTTCATTTCCCTTTCTACCTTACACTACATCTTCAGTCCCATGTTTTACTGTTGTGTCTGCCCACACAGGGCAGAGTTTGAAATGTCACTGATGTCTTGCCTTTAGAATACTTCAGTCCCCATCTCTCAGTGCAAAAATATTAAGCTTTTTTTTTTGTTTTTTTTTTTTTTTTTTTTTTATGTGGTACTGAGGAATCGAACCCAGGGCCTCATGCATGCAAGGCAAACACTCTACCACTGAGCCACCTTCCCAGCCCAAAAATATTAAGCTTTTAAACATCAACTTTTTTCCTTTGCTAAATATATTCTACCAGAAAGTAAGGTTTTTTTTTTTTTGGTTGTTGTTGTTGTTGGTCGTGGGACCTGAACTCTGGGCCTGGGCGCTGTCCCTCAGCCCTTCAGCTCAAGGCTAGCGCCCTACCACATGAGCCACAGCAGCACTTTGGGCTTTTTCTGTTTATGTGGCACTGAGAAATCGAACCCAGGGTGCATGCATGCAAGGGAAGCACTCTATCACCGAGCCACTTTCCCAGTACCCAGAAAGTGAGTGTTTAGATTTCAGGATATGCCTAAATGTGAGCAATATGGCTGATTTTTGAGTAAACTGCTACTTCTTCTGGCAAAGGCTGAATCCC